AAATGTCCAGTTTTAGGGTTTTACACAGAATTAAACCAAACAACATGAATCAAACATGCACTTTATTTATTCCCACTAAATAACAAGTACATCAAATCAGATTGAAGCTAAGGGCATACATAAACTGTCTAATAGAATGATGGTTGGCAGTGGTCTTAACTCACCGGAGATGGGGTTGACAGTGGCAATGACAACAAATAATATGGAGGTTGGAGGGATTCTTCCTTTTCACAACAACTCAATCATAGGTTGGATTGGAGGGGTTTTTTGTCCAAAAAGAAAAAAAAGGAAACTAAATAGCGAAATGAGAATCACTTTCCGGAGGAGGGGGTCGAGAATGGCCATTCCCCGTCCACTTATTCATTCCCATTCCGATCGACCAAACATCTAGAAATGGAATGACACATTCCGATTCCGATTCGAGGGTCCTATTCCCTTGAACCAAACAGATCCTAAGTCTTGTAGAAAGGAGGTTTAAGTCCCCGAAAAAACAAAATTAAGTAATATAAAAGTAAAATTCAAATGTATTTTCCTCTTCTCTTTTCGCTAGGTAAAATAAATGGCAATATGCTTATGTGGGTAGATGTGTTTTTCTTGGTATATCTCAGAAGAAAAAAAAAAAGAGGAAAAGAAAAGAAAACTTGTGAGTTGCATCTCTCTTTCTCCGTGTTCAACTCAGATTGATCTGACATTCTGACTTAGCATTTTATGCTTTGGGCTTGGGCCTTCAGAACTAGCCCATTCAAATTTTGACACAACCCAACCTGAGCCCTCTCTTCAGGCTTCCCTGGAAGTGCAGACCAAGAAAATGGTAAAAAAAATGAAAACGACAAAGATGTTTTTAGGGGCCATAGCAAGTTATGGCTCAAAAAACATCTATACTATATATATAAAAGTGTGAATGCAATGTGAAACTTTTTTGGATTAAAATTATCCTCTTTCTTTGGTTGAGAAAGAGAAAGCGTATAAAAGTCATTTTGTTATAGCTTTAATGCCTATTTGAATGGCTACTAAAATGCCCATATTTATGTATTTAGTGGATCTCTAATTGTAAGGGTTAAAAATGTAATTTCAATTATTATTTTCCACCTCATTTAATTCCCTCTCATTAAATCTTATACTTAAGGTATTAAATTTCATTTTCTTTTATTAAATTCTATATTTAAGTTATTTTTACTAATAAATGCTACTAATTAGATCTATATCAATATTTTTAACAATATCAACCCATATGTTTTAAAAATGACTAAAAAATAAGACCATTCTTTATCCAAGTGGTGGCTAAGCAATTCAACCATCCAAATCAAATTGATCAACCTATGAAGTCATAGTTAGGTAATAAAAATTTTAAAATACAAATAAATATAGAAAATTACAAAAATATAGAAAAAATTAGACACATTTATGATATTTTTATTAATC